GTGTGCTGGTACATACCTGGAATCCCAGCACTTGGGAGGCTGAGGCAGGAGGATAGTTGCAAGTTCGAGACCAGCCTGGGCGACAAAGTGAGCTCAAGGCCAGCCTGAACTGCATACCAAGACCCTGCCTCAAAAAGACAAAAATCCAAAAAACAAAAATGGTAACAGAAGTATCTTTCAGTGAGAGTGTTACTTGTGATTACTGTTTTCCAAGTAGGCATGTTTTACTAATATATTCCTTTTATGGTTAGAAACCCCCCAGAAAGGCCACATGACTTGGGGAAGCAGAATAAATCTTTTATGGAATTATTTATGAGACACAAACACACTAAAAATATTGGTCTAATAATTTAGGAAGGCAGCTGAAATTGTTCACAGGCAGTTGCTGTTTCTTTTAATTCATTTCAAACTTAATTATCTTTACGAGTTGATGTCCTTCAATATTTTTTAAACCTGAGTTTAGAAATGCTTGCTTTTAAGTAGGTGTGACTCTGCAAACAAGCCAATTTCTGTATTTATCACAAAAGAAATGTTATACAAAAGCACTTTGAAAAATGTAAGGCAACACAAAGGCAAGTTCTATATAACCAGTTCTTTGTGTAAATTATGGTTTTTATTGACATGGATCATTATCACTGTGTACAAAAGCAAAGACTTCCCTGTGGTGTGCAGCTGCGGTCAGTGTTTGCAGAGGCCGTGTGCTTGGGGCGTGACTGTGCTTTGCAGACTGTGGTTTGCTTTTGCAAACCGTCCCGGATAAAACTGAGAAAGCTGCAGTCTAAGGTATCTTCAGTCTAATAGGTGCTGCTAAAAAGTTTAACAGCAGGGAACTGCACTGCAAGGATCCCAAGATAAAGAACAGTAATTGATTGTTGATGTCCAGCATATAGTTGAACTTTTTTTTTTGGTACTGGGAATCGAACTCAGGACCTTGTGCTTGCCAGGCAGGTGCTGTCCTGTTGAACCATCCCCACCTCCCCCACCCAACTTTTTTTTCTTTAGTCTTGATATGCAGTTTAGGCTGGCCTCAAACTCGCAGATCCTTCTGCCTCAGCCTCCCAAGTGCTATGATTACAGGTGTACACCACCATGCCCAGTACGACATGTATTTTTGAAAATATTATCTCACCTAGTTCTCCCAGCCATGCTGTGAGGCAGGTGGAGGTATCAGTTGTATGTACATAAGTAATTTGGTTGGTTAGTTTTTTGAGACAGAGTCTCACTATGGAGTTCAGGTTGGGCGTGAACTCACCTATGTAGCCCAGGATGGCATCAAATTTGAGGAGAACCTCTTGCCTCAGGCTCCTGAGTGTCAGGGTTACAGTTGTGCACCACCACCCCCTCTTTTAATGTGGTAATGGAGACTATTGTGACAATCTCACTAAATTGCCCAGGCTGGCCTCAAACTTAAGTTTTTCTTTCTGTTTATTTTGTGCTTTTGTGACAGGGTCTCATTATGTAGCTCAGGCTGGCTTTATTTATTTATTTTTTAAATTTTTTTTTTGGTGGTACTCTGGATTGAACTCAGGGCCTTATGCATGCTAGGCATGTGCTGCACCACTGAGCTACATCCCCAGGCCCCCTCTGGTTGGCTTTAAACTTGTACTGATTCTCCTGCCTCAGTCTCCCAAGTGCTAGGACTATAGACGTGTGCCACCATGCCTACCTGAACTTGTGATCCTCCTGCCTCAGCCTCCTGAGTAGCTGGGATTATAAGCATGCACCACTATGCCTGGCTGTACTGTTTTTTCAAATGCAACAAGGCTTTTCTTGGGGCTACCTAAAGGGAATAGTGTTCCCTAAAAGACTCTTGCTTTCTTTCTCTTTGTAGGGCTCATTCCATCTTTCCCTGTGTGTTCCCTCCTTTTCCTCCTGTTACAGCTGTTGTGAATTACACAGGATCTGTATCTCTATGTTCACTTTCCTGTGACTAAGGATAGATCTTTGCCCTTTCATTATCTGTACCTGAATCTACCCTGGTCTCTTCCTGAGGGAAGTTGTTCTTATGCTGCATCTTTCTCTCCGTTTCTCTTCCTATCACATCATCCTCTTTTGTCCTCTTTTCTGCTCTGCCTGTTTCATCTCTCTTATGCAGAAATGAAATGTGGCCCTAGCAAAACAACTGCCATTTCAGAAAAGCGCTTCATTTTCTCCGTTAGGATTTCTGAAGTAGATGAATGGATGGAGACCTCCTACTTCTCTTTCAGTTCCGGAACTCAATATGAAGACATTTGTATGCAAATATCAACTGTTTTTCTTGTAGAAGCATTTTCCTAGGGAAGAAGAGAATGTTTTTGATCAAGAGTAGTAGCTCACACATCACATATCTAATGGTATTCACTGGTGAATTCTCAAATATTCAGCAAGTAAAACAATGGGATGATCAGTGTAAGGCTGGGGCAACCAGGAAACAGACACGAGGAGAATTCCTGTATTGTGTTCCCTAATGGTATCCAGAATAGGGATTACAGTAATAAGAAAGAGGGGACCAGAAAGTAGGATCACATATCTCAGTGGCAGAAGAACCCTCCAGTCCTCCCAAACGGGCATTTATGAAGTCCTTCTTCAAGCTGGGCATTGTGGCACATGTCTGTAATCCTAAGCAAGTACTCGGGACAATGACATGGAAGGATCGTTGGGAGTTCGAGGCCAGCCTGGGCCACACAGTGAGTTCAAGCCTAGACCAAACTACATAGCAAGGCCCTGTCTCAAAAGACCAAACAAACAAAAAACCACGCACACATACAAAACCAAAAAAAAAAAAAAAAAAAAAAAAAAACTTCTGAAGGATGTATAAAGTGTGCTTGTATTTTAGGCTTGATGCCCACTCCCTTGGTGCTTTTGATTTGGCTTTATCATTTGCCCACAGGAAGCTGATTACTTGAAAAGCCAGGGTTCATGTTTTTGCTTGTTGGCTTTGGGATGATTCAGCCTAAACGCTTTCATGACTTCACTGAGTATAATGTTAGACACTGATTTTACCATTTCTATACGTGAAACATCTGTTGTTTTGTTTTCATTTCACAAATATACCTATAGAGTCATACAAACAACTTCTTGTAGGGAAGACAGATTTGTGCCCACCACTCAGAAGTGTTTGCATACTTAGTGCACATTGCTGATCCCCGAGGGAAGGCAGCAAAGACTTGCAAACACTTGTCACTCTCTGGAAAGACTGGAATTAGAGGCAACCAGGACATATGGGTAGGGAATAGAAAAGGGAATGCAGAAAGATTTGTTTTTCTGGGCAGAAAAGAAAGTTTATAGATGCTCTGGAGACTGAGGCAGGAGGATCGTTGCGAGTTGAAGACCAGCCTGGGCTACAAAGTGAGATCAAGGCCAGCCTGAACTGCATAGCCCTGTCTCAAAAAAGATTAAAAAAAAAAAAAAAGTTTACAGATAGCTGTTCTTTGTCCACGTGAAAATACAGAAAGCCTCCTGTTTGCCAGACACCTTGGTACCAAACTGAAGTATCATTTTCATTTCACCAAGTATGTTAGCTGTGAATTTGGAAGTTAAACATGCTGCTCTAAGTAGATGAAATTTCAGGCTTTTTTTCCCCTGGCATCTTGCTCCCTTAATGTTGGCTGAATCTTTCATTTTAACAACACGTATGAAGATGTTAAAGGTTGTCTTCATCCAAAAAGATCACAGCCTAATTAATAATAATAATAATGAAAAATTATCTTTTAAACCTAATAAACATGCTGACTTAATAATTAAATACAAGTTGAAACAAACAAAAGCTCTGTTCACGCTATATATTTCCGCACCAGTAACTGCCATGTTAAAGTAATTTATTGGGCCACTAGCAGAAGCCATCTGCTGTTTTATAGAGGCCATAGAATCGTAAGGATTTAGAGCTGGAAGAGCCTTGAAGAGTTTGTAATTCAGCCTGCTCATTCCACAACTGAGGAAACAGTGGCTCTGAGAGGCTGAGCCAGGTGTTCCAGACAAAGCCCCCGACTGGGACTTTGGTCAGCATTTTGCATACTGGTGGTTTGAAGACACAGCGCCTTTCCATTGTAGTGGGCACGAAGGAAGGGTACCCCCACACACGTTAGGTGAGGAAGATACACACAGGAGGAAAGTACAACTTTTCTCCTGGACAGAAGCCAGTAATATTGAAACTACGGCGCTGGCCCACATGATTGGTACTAAATGAAAACGAGATAAAACTCCATTCAGTTGAGGACATCTGACCCAAGAACTTTTAAATAAGGTCACGTTGTCAACAACAAAATAGTTACCAAGATTCTCGACAGTATCTGCACCCAAAGCCAAGCCGGACTCCGGGTCAGGGCTTAAGGCTTTCCCAAGGATTTCCTCTTCTGCGGTGCAGAAAGACCAGTTACTTAAGACCCGCATTCCAAGCTAAAGCGCTCAGTAGACAGGCCGGGCGGCCGACAGCCGCAAGCCCACCACCCACACTTCCTCGCCCCACGGGGAGATGCCCGCCGCACCCTGGGCACCGCTGCTGCCCGGCCCGAGGGCTCGCCCACCTCCGTCGTAGGGTCTGGCCCGGGCGCGAGCTCCTACCTGGCTCTCTCGGCCCTCGTCCCACCCGTCCCATTGGCCCGGGGCTGGGGAGGCGGAGGCGTGCGCGGTGACGGAACAGAAGGCCCCAGACCCTCGGCCCT